ATAAATAGGGTATCGATTTTGGCCATTTTGGTCTTAAATAGGGTATGGTTTTAGCACTCTAGTCTTGAATCGGGTATGTTTCTTAAAAGAAGCTACTTTTTCATCATTATCAATAAGACCCTCAACAAAAGCCCTTCATAATTTATGTTTAGGGCAGCTGTGCCAGCTATAAAGGTCATAAACAGGGTATCGAATTTTTGGCCAGGTCATAAATAGGGTAGCATAAATCGCAGATTTTGGTCATAAATAGGGTAAGGGTTTTGGAAAGTGGGCTGCACACCCCTACGCAACGTTTCTGGGAGTACCCCCCAGGGAACTGATATAAACACACCCTGGGGGAACTCCCATGTAGAAAGGTCGGGATGCTCGTTGTCTGGCTTAGGGGTGTAAATCAAGGATCTTGGTCTCACTTAGGGTGTTAAGGACAAAAATGCCACTACTTTTAGCTGTCAACGTATCTTTTAGGGTGCAAATAAGGCTCGGCCAATGAAGGAACAAGCCGCACGCAGACTGGTCTCCTTTAAAGGTTATTGGTCTCTTTTAGAAAAGAGTCTTTCTAATTAAAATTTAAATTTTCCGATGAGCATCACCGACCTTTTCAGACTAAACGATGGTGGCAGCAATCATTTAATCTCGTTCTCAAACTTACCTGCAAATGGGGGAGCCGAAGCTATGGCAAAAGAAGTTAAACAGTTTGCCAGGCCAAACGCTGATGCTCTCCTTTTCACATCCACACAAGTCAAGAAAATCAGATTGCTAGTTGTGACGACGGAACCGTTTCCCAGACCGAACGATACGCTGCACAACACAAAGGAAAGATAACTTCGAGCCACAGTGAACAAAAGGACTGACACACCACTAATACAGCCACCGACTTGAAAAACAAAGTGAGGGTTGACCCATGTTAGATTGCAAACACGTCCTGCTAATAATCTTGCGATACATGAAGCAAGGCCATAGAACATCAGTAATCTTGCGGAATTGTCGGGAGAGATGCCCTGTTCTTCTGAATATTTCACCTGAAAAATTGAGAGAAAAAATACAAGCTTGTTAGATGACGATAGAACGCCCGAGTCCAATTCAAAGTCAAAAGTAATGAAAAAAGCAAAACGAGAGAAGGAACATAAGAAGTGAGCCTTCAGCTGTCAGTTTCTTTTCTGTAAGTTTATGGACCGTCTCAGAGNGAGAAATAATGTGTTTACATTGCCATATTTTTAGTTTCTACACGAACCGTTATACTCATTCCAATGATTTGACGCTGAATCTACTTTGACAGGGGTGCTCGTCGTACCTTCTAGGGGTTAGAAAGTGGTTTTGGTACCTCTGAGGGTGTTCAACCTCATAGGGTCCACAGAGGGAAACTTTTTCAGTACCTTTTACAATGTCAAGCCGAAAAAAAAATGACAGGATCGAGATATTTGATGATAAACTTTACAAGTAGAAGGTATTCGAAGCAATTGTTTAATGCTATTAAAAAATCATGAAAGTATCAGTTATTGTGCTGTTCTAGAATTGGTACCTCTTAGGGGTGAAACAGAGTTTCAAGCCACGCCCACAATATAAGATCTTTGTATCTCTCAGGGGTTAAGAGTTTTCTTTCTTTCTTTTTCTACCTCTTAGGGTTTACAAGATCCCTGACGAGCACCCCATCCTCTATTTATGGGAGTTTCCCCTGGCAATATTCCCTTAGACAGACTGAACTAGAAAATTCAATAACGTATTCATAAATTTGGCTTTTATAAATCCCTGCAGGTAAATTTGAATGTGTCCCCAGGATCTGTGCTCGGTAAACGGCGTGCACAAGAGTTAAAAGCCTTAACTACGTTTTTCAGGTCACTTTCGAGAAAATTAATTTAAAAAACACTTCTATTGCGCAGTTTCAATCACAATTCATTAAAACTTACTTCAGTAAGCGATCGATCTTAGTGGTCCGTATTGCAAAATTGGAACTGCTCATGCAGGGAACCAATCAGAATTAATCTTCTCATCCTGGACCAGTTTGCTATATAACAAAGAAAATTGAATACTTACCAGGTGAATACGAGTGATAGATGCTCCTAAGGAATCCATCATAAACCCCAGAGCAAAGACGGTGAACGCTGGCACTGTCCACACAGAACAGTCCACTATCTTAGTTGGTTCTATTATTTGGTAATCCTCTTCTTCCAGCTGTAAGCTGGAGTCATGTGGATCTGAACAATCTTCCTCCACACTAGGATCATACAACAGAGCTGGAATCCCACCCACAAAGACTATCCCTGCCAGAAATCTGAAAGTGTTGTCCAAACTGAAGCTGTCCAAGAAAGCTCGAATAACTGGTGCTAATACAAACAAACCCAGACCAGCACCGGCAGATAGTATCCCTGTGGCGAAAGGTTTCCTTTTATGAAAATACTGTGCAACCACAAGGAAACTTGATGTGCGAACGCAGCTGATACCAAACCCAACCTGCAAACTATACGTGAAGTAGTAAATAATGATGCGGTTTGCAAACGATGACAAAATGAGTCCCACTACAGAAGACCCAGCTCCAACCATGGTCACACATCGGCAGTTTAACTTGTCAGAGAGGCGACCAGCCACAGGACTGGCGAAGAAACAAAGAAATGATGCCAGGGAGCCTATCCAGGCTACAAAGAGAAGACAAATAATATTGCATCAAGAGGAATTAACATATTGAACCTTTTAGGTTCAGGTTTCTGTATCATGTTATTTCTATGTTCAAAAATCAGGAGTCCTTCACTAGAATCATAAAATCCCCTAACGATAAGATGATCAACAGACTATAATTTATTAGTGACTACGCAAGTGCTAATAAGTACCTGTAGTCGGCCATTTGAGGCAGAGCCATCACTCCAGGCTCTCGACACCCGGGGGGACGAGTCCCATATGAAAAGGTCGGGAATGCGCGTCATCTCGCTAAGGGGAGCAAATCAAGGATTCTGGTCTCACTTAACGTATTCATAATGGAACGCCACAGGTTTTAGCTGTCAAAGTATCTAAATGGTGTAAATAAAGAATTTGATTGAATTGAATTAGGGTGCAATCGGAGAGGTAAATTAAAAAACAGTCTCTTCTTTCTGTTTATAGGCTCAATTTTCCTTGGTCTTTCGAGTCTCGTCTACTAGCACTGGCTCCTTTCCTGAACAGCGGTTGGTAATCGAGCCTATTCCGTTTTAAGTGGTATCTTTTAGGGGTTAAATAAAGCTCGATCCATGTCCCAAATTGGTCTTGCTTAGGGATTTAATTTCAATTTTCTGATGAGCATCCCCTGGCACGGATCCAGGTTTTTAGGAGAGGGGGTTCGACGAAATGGAGCCGCCGAAGGCGGCGCCCCAGTAGGGGGGGGGGGGGGCGGGGACCTCCTGCCCCGGAAAATTTTTAAATTTCAAGTCCTCAGAAACGCGATTTCGCCATTCTGAGGCAAAGTCAGCGTGTTTTAATATCTCATTTTTTAGAGTAAAAATGCCATTCTTTGTTATAAAAATATAACAATACACAATGTAAAAACATGCAAATTTTCATAAAACTACGATGAAAATATACTGCATTTCATCTTATTTCAATTTTGTGTTTCGTCAGAGACGGGATCGACAAGAAGTATCTTTCGGGGATATCTTTCCGCAAAAAGCTGAACCACAGCATCGTAGTTAACGGGCTTTTCGTAGTGAATGTTCATCAGAGCCAAGCCTGACAGTCTTTCCGTTGTCATGGTGGTACGTAAATATAAGCGTCAAAGTACTGTTTGCTCGCTCGTTGTCAGCTGAAGTGACTGGCATGGTGCAAGCAATTCGCAGCAAACAGTTAACGTTAGGGAAAATGTCGGGATCACAGGCCTGGTGGAAAGGGAGAGACAAAGATCGTTGTCATCAGTTCAATAAACAATGTAATTTTGATCATTTAAATAAGATGGACTTCAGAAGAGAAGTGTTTTACTTCTAATGCAGGTTGAAGAGAGTCTGGCTTGGTTACTTGTGATTTCCATTTTCTTAACCACCTGTCATATTCAGTGTCAAGGGTATGGGGACTTGGAAGATCTGACTTGTACATCTCCGACATCTTTTCAATGTTTGCATTTTCTCGTGTAACGATTATTCTTGGTACAAGGCCAAGTAACTCAACAGCAGTCTTCTGAGTAGAACCACATCTAAAAATTTAGGCAGGCGCACTAGTCAGCGCACACGCACAACTCTGGTTTGCACCGTCTAATGTGCATATAATAAACGCAAGGATGCTATTTTGCATTATCAATTGTTAAGCTAAGATTTAAGTATTAAGAAGCTAAACTATCAAGAGGAGCCTTATAATTTATGTGTGTAACTTTAAACTGACAAGGCAAATACAAGCTATTGCAATACATTATATATTTAAAATGTTCACCTTGATGACATCTCTTCCGTGATATGGTCAAGGAAAGGAACGAACAAGGTCCGACAGTAATATTCTTCTGGGGAGTCATTAGGGGTGTTCTCTCTGTGTCGCTGTCTCGAGGCGGTTCTTGCGACGCTCGGCTCGGTACCAAGGCCTGAGGCAAGGGCTACTGCATTTGCATACCATGCCTTAAATACGGTGTCGGCATTGTTTCTCATTTGCCTGAACTCTTTCTCCGTCACCGCTATCATGTTGTACGCTTTGACGATGTGATTAGACTTCTTTTATTGAGAAGCAGAGGTTTTACCTGGTTATGAACTTTTTGCATTTAAGATTGACTGTATTTATTTAATATTTTTACAAGTTTTTGACATTAGCTGTTTTGATTTAGCCGGTTCGATTGAATTCCCCGAACCCCTCCTAGATCTGCCACAGATCCCCAACCTTAAGGGCTTATGTGTCCGATGGCATGATGAGGACTGATGATGATGATCCCCAACCTTTTCATATGGGAGTTCCCCCCCCCGGCTCAATACAGTTAAAGCACTAAGCATGCACTACATGCCTATGATGCTAGTGAGTGGGAAACTGTCCAGATTAATTAACAATTCTCTGACTGCCACCTTTAGGACTTGACCTGCAGCATCCTCTGATTTTAGCAATCCTCTGAATCTTTTCATTGCCTAATTTTTATTATCATATACAAAGTCAAAAATCAGTATGTTTCAAAATTATGCAATCTTTTAAAGGAGCTCAGTCATGTGTACTTTGAGCTATTTTGGCCACATACAAAATTACCTTTAAATGGTAGGAAACCTGAAAATAACAGTTTAATAAGATAGAAAAACACCAAAGACATAATGATAAACCATAAAGGAACAAGGATGGCTAAGGATGGAGAAGATTAACACGGATTACAAATGACGAATTTGAAAAATTGAGTCTAACCTTTTCAATCTGCGCAAACCATGACTATGCTCCTTTAATGTTGCAGCTGCTAATATTCCAGCTTGTGGGATACAATCACACCTTTCGCGAATTGACAATTGTAACTGGAAATAGTGAGCTGCCAGTCAAAAAATCATGGCTCCTTGAGGTCACACTTATCTTAAATACAATGGATTTGAGAAATTCTGATCGGTCAATATATTTATTTAAAATTTGTTGAGAAAGTATATTTTGTTGAGAACCTTTTATCACTCAACAAATATTCAGCAGTCAAGAAATATTGACAGTTGTTTTAACTTAACCTTACTGGAATGTCTGAGAAAATCTTGTGTAAATTTATTGTTATTAATTTGAACAGTCAAAAGAATCAACTAGCCTCTAATACATCCACTTTAATTCAATTGAATTAATTAGCATTTTTCATTATCATTTGAGTATTTTTTGGTGGAGAAAAATTCACATACTTTTAAATAACTATCCTCAGGGGATGGGGGTACTCATGTATTTTAGTCACGAGGAGGTGCAAACGAGGCCAAATTTGTACTCCCCCACCTTAAGTGTTACTATGCGTGATGAGCCCTAGGAGTGTGTGTGTGGGAGGCTAGAAAGTAACCCAGACAAGCCCCTTTTCTCTCTGTTTTAAAAATAAAAATAATTAAAGGAAAAAAAAGACAAGAGAAAGGTTTAAAAATTCACTTTTCTTTCTTCATTATACATCTGTCGCAAAAATAAGGCTTTTTTACCCCTCCCCCGCCTGTCACAATTCACCTGATTAAGAAAAATTAATTTTAAACAATTATTGGATGCGGTTTTTGTGATATCCAGAATAATCAAGGTTGAGGTAGGGGTTATCAGCCGAAGCCGAAGGCTTGATTGATTGTTTATTCTGGATATCACAAAAACCAAATCTAATAATTGTTTTATTATACATTGAACAAAAAAAATGAAAGTCATGTTTATGCTTCTTCACTGTCGGCAAGCGACAAAGCACGTGAACTTGACATGATTACCCGTGACCTTGAGTGTCCTTGACATGATTATTGTTTAATCTGCAGAGATGACGTCGAAAATTCACTGTAAGCTCTTGGCCAATCAGAAAAGAGATAGTGAGTTCAAAGTACAATAAAAAAAATATTTGTAAAAGCATGAGTAAGTGTCTGACAAACTCCTGCTTTGACTGAACTTAACATGTGTTGTTTTAAAAATGGTTGTCATTAAAAACTACTGAATTCAAAACATCCGTTTGAATTTACAATGAATAAACAAATAAAGAAAGAAAGAAAATTAATAAAACAAATAAATGCAATTGCAAGAAAACCTAACTAGGCATAAAAGATTCTAATGAACAAAGTTTTAAATCAGTTCAAATAATTTCCGTCATTTGACTCTTGCTCGATCGAGAAATGTTCAGTTCTTGAGAAGCCTTTGTCACACGAAAACTTTACGTCGGTCAAAAATTGACAATAACAATTGACAGTTTGGACGAATTCCAACAGCTGACACAGCTGAGCGACACCCAAGATCTTTCAAATTGATTAAAATTCAGCGGGATGCTTTTTTTTTACTTACAATTAAGGTTATTCCCCAGTATTGCAATGCGCGTGAGCTGGCGCGCATTAAAAAATGGCGGCTTTTTCTTTACAGCTGGACCTCGCCATAGAGGTAAATCGTCATTTTCTCGCAAACGAGCATTGTGACCTATCATTTTTTCTATTGTTTTGAATTGAGTAATAAATTTCTCTGAGTGAAATGAATGTGGACCAATTCTCAGTGTAGAGCAAAAAGCAATCGTCAGAAACGTGAATTTCGCAAGCAATCGTGACTGCAATCACGGTGCTTTTATAAGGATTTATTGGGTATAAACAAGGTGCTGTTGCTCCTAAACGAACATGGGGACCCCTCATATTTATTTCAAAATTCAAGTTCCTATAATATAATCAATAGACAAAGATTCACAAAAATCTCAGTGCAGGTTCTATTTCAGTGGAATGACCTTAAGTTTATATATCGATAATCATTGTCAAATCGATCTTAAGTGTGTACCTGAGCTATAGCTTCGATTCTAAGGCATCTTTCGCTTTATCAACAGCTAAAATTACAAATACAAGTTCAGCTCAGCTTTACTTATAATAGTCACCTGTTTCTTGCCTGCTCGAGTTAAAACGTCTTATGATCACCGGAAAAAGAACTCCGAAACTCATTAGAAGCCCCATGTTTATGGCTTGGCAGAAGGTAGCGCCTGCACAAACGAGGTATGACCATCTACTGTCTTGTTGACGCCGTGGGCGATCTGTTTTATTTAGATTTAGGCCGGTGCAGCAACCACACGGTATCATTTTGACCAAAATAACAGATTATTGTGAAGGTGAAAAGGGCTTGAAAGGTCGCCCGATTCGGACATGACGCAGGTGACCTCAACGCCACGGGCCGGCCGAGTGCAACCTCATCCCCAGGGCCTTCTCCTCGACGATTTTATAAAGGCCATTTTGAAAATCGTCGAGGAGAAGGCCCTGGGGACAAGGTTGGGCTGAGTGTTTCAGCTAGTTTGCCGCTGACAGGTAATAGCCGGTGTATCGTGACTGTACCGTAATTTTGGAACAGGAAACATGGTGGAAGGGACGGGCGGATTACGGATCAAACTGGACAATAGAAGATCTTTTTCTCTGGATTAATTTCCAGGACTTGGGTTCAATGACTTCAATGTGTTCAGAGCATCAAGCTTCAAATGGTCTACAATGCTAATGAAAAGATACAATTGACCCGTTCACCTGACTCGTGCAGTTCAATTATTCGCCAGGGTTTCATTTCGCCGTTGTTTGCGCTGGCAGGCCACCTAGAGTAAAGTTCGATATATACTTTTTTAAAGTAACGCGGTCGGACAGCTGTAGCCTGCGTAGCAGCCGTTTTCTTTCCTTTTCCAAGCGGCAATTTCCGTAATTTCCAAAAAATTCCTGCAGAGCAAAATCTGCTGAGAAAAAGAAAATCGTGCAAGACAGGAGACATGCAAAAAATATCGAGCAAGTGTTTTCTACTATCCAGATCTGTTAAAAGTTCTTACACAAGCTGTTAACTACCAAAAAAAATCATGTGCAACCTAAGGGTGATTAAAAACATTTTCACGCCTCAGAAAGTTACCCAACTCTCCCTACCCCCCTCCCTCCACAAAATAATGGTCTGTTCCTAAGGATATTGATACAGGTTTACGAGTAATGAAACGAAAGATAGATATACGCCAGAGTTTACGGTTAACTTTTCCCAACCCAGTAAAGTGAACAACACAGAAAATCATTTCTCAGACTTTGTTAAGGATATATTTTTCGTCGGTCAACGAGCAAAACTTTAAATCATTTCCCAAGAACGTTGATGCTCAATTTGTGTGAAGCAATTTCGAATGAGGGAAAAGCGCTAGCAACAATGAAAGAATCAATTAAAAATAAATTCTGAAACCTTGGTGTTCCGCCACCTCGAGTGGCTGACATAAGGATGACGTTTAATCAGAATTCTCCGCCTGCGACTGATGGGTCAGCAAACCTTTCCCGTGACTTAAAATTGAAAACGGTCGACTATAATTTTGAAGCTTTGATAGCCTGGAAAGTTACAAATCCAAGAGTAACGTATGGGGATCTTCTACAGATGCCTTGATTTTCCTAAGGAACGTCACTGCTTCCCTGCCGTCAATTAAACGATGGTCGTACGTTAGAGCTAAGTACATCATGGGACGAATCTCCACCTTCGGAAAAAATACAGGAGAGAAAATGTCAAATGCGATTGGAAAAAGTCATGTTGCTACAAACTAAGACAAAACCTGCTGAGACAAACTAACACTCGGAAACTTAAGTCATCTAAAAATCATTTTTCTTCTTGGTACTTACATCCAGTGTTGTAGTAAGGCGTTACGACACATGGTAAATGTACAGCAAACAATATCAATCGGAGGAGAGGGGAGAGGAGAAGTTAGCTACATGTAATCTCAACAGTTTAGTCCGAGGTTGTGGCTAACTAAGGTTAAGATTTAAGTCTGTGTGCGAGTCTTGTGGTTTCCGATTTCCGTAGTACCGTTTGAGTCCGTATAGCAAGTGGCTTCGCTGAGGTCGAGAAGTTTCTATCAAAGATTAGAAAGAAAAAGACCCGTTCGGGTATCTAGAACAGTCATCCAGTCACTGACTTATTCGTGAGAAAATAAATTTACAAGTAAAAACATCAATTCAGAGCTGAATGTCAGCTAACATCATTTCGTAACTGACCTTTCCATTGACAGCTACCGGTCTGTCAATTATGGCGTGCATTCCCAAGATGGAGGACTGGGGCGGGTTAATGATAGGCGTGCCCATCATGGAACCGAACACTCCTCCATTGGAGATGGTGAAAGTTCCACCATCCATATCCTCGATTGCTAGCTCGTTTGTTCTTGCCTTTGAGGCGAAAAACAAAAAGAAAATACAGTCAGCTTTCTTTAAAGGAGCTACGTCATGGTTTGCGCATCTTGAAAAGCTTAGCCTAAATTTTTCAAGTTCGTCGTTTGTAATCCGTGTTAATCTTCTCCATCCTTAACCATCCGCGGCGTTGTTTCTTTAAGGTTAATTATTATCTCTTTGATGTTTTTTCTATCTTAGTGAACTGCTATTTTCAGGTTTCCTTCAATTTAAACTCAGTTTAAATTTGTACCTGGCCAAAATAACCCAAATTCCTTTAAAGCACACTCTCTTCGGACAAGCACCGCCAATTGTCCACCTTGGACACGTGACTGCCAAACGGAAGATGACCGACTGGTCTCCAAGTATCTCTTACGAAAAAGGCCGTGTCATGAGAAGAATGGGGACTAGCAAGTGGTGATGACGAAAACCGGGCCGCTTTACAAACGGACCCGAGGAAGAAGGCTCTATTACCAGCCGCTGAATGAGGCCGCGCTCTTCTCGTGGAGGAACGCGACCAGGCCCGAGAAGGCGGCGGGAATTGAGCCCGCTACCAAAAAACCTGTTCTCGAGTATTTGATGATTAAAGCGTTTGCATACCTTCTCTCCCATAGCATTGATAGCTTTTTCGATGTCAGCGTAGTTCATTTCTTCCACATTCCTAATCACCGGCACAACAAGGCCCTGTGAGATAGAAAAAAAAATCCAATAGTTTTAACGATATCAGTCACACAAACAAGCCAGTGACTAGAATGAACATTTTCTAGCCTCAAATTAGTGACTTTTCTTCTCCTCTAATTTTTGCGGCCGCGGAAAACTTAGCTGTGAATTAGGGACGCGAGACTTCCTCTTGTTTAGACACAGTGTTTCAATTGCAACCCAACAGTTTGTTTAGAATCTAATAACTTTGCTAATAAATAGAAAGTTTGTCTGGATAGAGGTCGAGATATAAAATTGTTTCACGACTAGAGCGACTGAACTGTAATGTGGACGGGGCCTTTAACACCAGGAGCCCGTTTCTCGAAAGCGGGCCCGAAAAGCCATTTTTAGTTAATCGGTGTTTAAAGACAGAGTGGTGTACACGCCTGAAACTTCTTGTATGAAGAGAGCCTCTGTTCGTATTAAGAATATGTGAATAACACAGCTCTGTAGTCAAAAGGTTTGAGATTTTGCTACGGCTTTTCGGGTGCGAAAACTTTTCGGGACCTTCGAGAAACGGGCCCCACGCCCTGGTTGTTTAAAGGCTGGGTAACGCTATCCACCGGCTAAATCACTATCCAGTGGATAAGTGCTGACAAAACAAACCACGTTATCCACTGAATAGTGATTTATCCGGCGGATAGTGTTATCCACCTTTCGAACAACCCGCAATCCCGGACAAAAGTAGTTAGAAAACTTGAGCTGGATCACGCATCTCCCATGCCCCCTAATCAATTTTGGAAAATGTCATGTGTTTTTTTCAACAAAAAAGGAAAAAAATCACCTGATTATCAACATTGTAAGTGGGGGAAGGTGAGAACTTGCTTCGTGTCCCAACTTTTTCGTCTGGGATTACGGGCCTGAAGCTGCACGTACCTTAGGCGTTGCTACTGCCACGCTGATGTCGACATAATCTCTGTATAAAATCTCATTGTTTTCAATTACTATAGGAGATAAAATGTACATACAGTTATCAAGACTACAATCAATACATGTCTCTGGTGGTAAGGAAATCAGAGGTTGTAAGTATTTTTTAATGAGAGCAAACATTCATTTCCTTTAGTTCATTCAACAGAACTTTGGGTCATATTTGTAACAGATTTGGTGGGCTTATTATCGAATTATTATTATTTTTTTAAAATTTGGTCACTGTTTTTTACATCAGGAGCTTCCTGACTCTTCATGTATCGTAACTGCCTGGGCTGATCTTTATTGCTATTTCATCCAGCTAGTATCAAAATGATTTTGAAGGGTTTTTCACATTTTATTTTTGTAAGTGAGAATATGAAGCTTGAATACAAATGAACCTTGGTGATGATTGTCAGTCCAAATATCATGTTTACTTCACACAGGAATTGTCCCTGGGCACATTAGTAAGAAAAATTCTACAAGTATGGCCAACCTGTTATCAAACTCACTAGAAAATGACTACACAGTCTTATCAAATATTCTGACGTTGGTCTTGATGTTATGAAATAATAATTACACCTTCTGTTGTAGCTGACTACAAGTATACAAACCAACTGACCAGCATTTACTGTTGGCTCACTCTGCAAAGCATGAGCAGACGCCTTGATGAAGGCTGACATGAAGCCTAATTTGACACCATGCTTCTTAAAAAAGGTGTCTTTGTGCTTTTTTCTCATCTCAGAGATGTTACTGCAACAAACAAACAAAATTCCAATTATTAGATTATCGAGTGTCACTGTAAGTTAGTATTGCTTCATGGTAAATGCAAGTATTTGCTAAATTTAGTGTAAACCGCTCAACTTTCTTCCTTGCATCACATAGTTAATATGGTTGGCTATGTAATACATAATGCCATATCTATAGTCAATGAGATTTATCTTGTAAATGTGGAATCATGTATGCATAGAAACGTTTCAAGACAAGACAATCTGTACTGAAAGACAGACTCCCCATTGGCACAAAACACTGATATTTCAAGCTACAGTGTAGGGAATGGAAAATGCTAACATCTGGTCAGTATCTTAAATTTGTCACTGTCATCAAAAACACCAACCTCATATCAACTTCATTAAATGTCGTCAACATTGCATAAGTATTCTGAGAATCCTTGAGCCTTTGAGCAATCCTCTGACGCATTCTGGTCATCTTCGCCTGAGATCAGAAAATGCAGAAATTGGGATTGGGAATTCTAGCATTCGCTGGTGTTTGTTAAGCTCAGTTGGGTGTTGTAGTGAGAGTGGATGTCCTTATGGTAAGGCCCAAGCCCTCAACGCCCAGAGATTGCACCCATGTTAAAATGTTCAAGTGTTCCTTTCAATAAAAATGCAAACTTAATTTTGTTCTTCATAGTATATTCCACATGCCTGGAGAAGATCTTTTTGGGTTTGCAGCAATGAAAATGTTTTGTTTGCTAATGAATCAAGGATAGCTTAGAACTGCAATTTAGAAGAACTCTTGAATATACAAGACTCTTGGTGGAGGCAGCATGGCCTAGTGGTTAGGGAGCTGGATTTGTAATCTGGAGGTCCTGGGTTCAAATCCTCCTCCTTGCCACTGGGTGGATTTGTGTTTGGTGGTCCCAGATTCAACTCCTCCACGCTTTGTAAATAGCCAACTGGTCAGCCTCCCGTCAGCTGGGGTTTTTAAGAAGTTTCTGTTCAATTTATAATATTTGTTTGCTCATTTCAGTGTCCTCAATTAGCACAGTACTGCTAAACACTTTGACATTTAAATAAAGTGATTTATTTATTTTATTATTTATTAAGACTAATTAGATTGCAAATTAAGATATTCCTTATTCCAAACATATGTTTCTGTTCTTCTAAGGATTTGAACCTCAAACTTGTGGCAGACAGTGAAATAGCAATCTAGCAGTCATACTTTACTACACTGAAATGCCCACTACATGTTTAAAGTTGATCCCTCTGCTATTTAGACTGACATACCCTGTGCTCAGAGCGAGCTCCCTTAGATGGACTGTCTGTTGGCATGGCAACTGATGGCTGTTGGACAGGGGTGGGTGGCCCAGGTTTGATTTCTGCTATTGGCTGAGTAGGTACTTCAGGAACTACATAGACAAAGTTCAAAGGCGTTTAGATTTCTGCACATTAGAGTTGTACTCAGGCCATTTTTAGCCTCACCAATCTGGCTACAATGTCAACTACAGTAATGTTTTCCTGAAACGCTTCCGATCAGAATTTTAAACAGTCTATTTATTTACAATGATTGTGATGTTCTGATACAAGATGGTTCTAACTTATTATACAAACGTTATTGAGCTGCACTTTCAAGATATGGTACTGCCTATTGTGTTATACACGTTCAGGGTCTAGTGAGGTATTATTATTTCAGGGAGTTTCATTACTTTGAGAATACACTGTAGTTTGCCAATAGTAAATACAATGTTAATGTTTACATTATTGAGCGTCTACAGGAGGCCACAAAACTCTCTGAATTCTATAATAATCAAACATGTACCTGGAGGAGGAGTCGTTGGAATTTCAGAAGGAGTCTCCTTAGCGGGTGCTGAAGGTTCAGGGGGCGATGGTGTACTTGTTGGTGGTGTACTTGTTGGTGGTGTACTTGCTGCTGGGGCCTCCTTTGGAGGGGGGCCCTTTCCTGTAAGAGAGAGATTTACAAACCAAAGGATGGAAAATTACCATTTTCCTTTGCTCTAGTTGTTCCTCATGTCCTGACAGACAGTTACATGTAGGAAAGTGTTTGACAGGATTTGAAAAACTGAGAGGTCAAGAGCATGAATTGTTCATTATCATTGCCATCTTTAATTGGCACTTTCTGGGAGAATGACATGCTAATCTCTTTGTTATATGATCAGCTGATTAATCATACCTGTTAGAACAAGTTTGAACAGCTGTTGACCTTTCTCCACTTTATCACCATCATTGACAAAAAACTCCTCAATTATTCCAGCTGAAGGAGCAGTGACTGGAATGCTAGTCTGAAATCAGATGAAAAAGAATGAATTACAATTGCTTCATAATGTTTTGCAAGTACACAGCTTATTATAAAGTGACATGAGCCACGGCAAATTAATGACTGTTGACTTCGGGAGTTCAGAGGTGAAACATAGTCCTTGTTTCTTGTGAAAAAAAAAAATTCTTGGTATTAATTCTTGGTCATTTCATTAACAAAAAATAATACATCGAAAAACCATGTATAGAAGATTTACATTAGGTAATGATCTCCACCTAAAAAAAAGATATATTACATAGTAAAAACAACTGATAGCTATATTACAATTCAGTTTCAGTTTGAGCTTTACACTTACCTTGTCAGTTTCAATTTCTCCAACAACTTCATCTTCAGCCACAGCATCTCCTTGAGCTATGAAACAAAAACATATTTGTCACTCTATAACCCTTTCAAGGCCTTATGTGACACCTAGTTACAAAAGAGCTAGGTAACAGGTATAACCCCTTCAGTTCTTAAGTCAAAATAATCACTTCTCATTTCTGATTGCCATAGATTTCCTTCGATGTAGTTCTGAGAATTTAGTATTACATCAAGACAATAACACTTGGTCATCACACCTCAGCTTGACAGAGTATTGATCTTGTCAGGACAAATTAAAGGATGAAAGGAATGATGGCACAGTTGATAACACTACAGTAACAAAGGCTATATTAAAGGGGCTAGGTCATGCTACTTTAGGTAATTTTGTTTAATTTTGTTAATTATGAGCTCTAAACGTCAAATTGGCAGAGCAAAAGTCTTTCATTTGCAAAATCACTGCCACATAACAATTGAGAATGATTTTCCAGCTGTGTATTAAAATGACATTTTGATATAAACTGATATAAATTTGAGAAAAAGGTGGGCCGACGTTTTTCAAATTTACCCAAATGCAATCCATTTTAATTCTCTCCAGTTTTGTCCATCCATGTCCCTTCTTGGCTTTCCTGTGTTTTGTTTGAGATCTTCTATAGTTTTGAGCCGTTTTTGTGATATTTTAGTTAATTCTATGACCATWTGACCAGCGCTGAAATTGCCTAAAATTGCGTGACTTAGCCTGTTTAAGTCAAATTGTCTATTCATCTTGCTAGAGTTTGTCCTGGTTTTCTTAACATTAAGTGACTAGGAGTATTTCCACTCCTCCAGAGTGGGATTCTGGCTCATCACAGGATCCTTCCCTCCTCCCCCCTTCACAATTTATACCTGGGGTGGAGAGAGAAACTGAGTTATTGTGCTCAGAATTGAGGCACTTTGGAAAAAAGTGCATCATGCAAAAACACAATGCAGCGAGCATACATGTATTAGGTGTTGAATCCTGGCTACTTGATCTGGAGTCTAGCAACCTTACCACTAGACCACTGCACCTCACAAAACTATAGTAAAATTAGTAGTATAGAGAGGTGCAGTTCACTCACTTACCCTTGTCCCATCTGACGTCCCCCTCTGTTACTGACTCTGCAAATGGTGGGGTATTCACTATTATGTAGTCTTCAGAGCCTAGAGAATGGCAGGAAAGAAAAGCCTTAATTTGTAAAACAAAGACAAAAATCTGGCTCACTCACAACCCTATGCATTAACTCGAGTTATAAATGCATAAAGCTGAGAGGGGTTACTCAAAAGGAAAAAGAGAAAACTAAGTATTCTACAGGCATCTCCCTCTTTTAACAAGATTAGCACAAAAAAATGACACACTTACAAAATCTTGATGATGAATGAAAGCACTTCTCATCCTTCCAGCCAAGTAACCTAAAGATAGTTGTAAATATGTAATTGAAGAATTATAGTGAATTACAGGTGTTTTTGCATGTGCAATGCTATGCAAGATTGTATTACAGCTGTGCCGGTAAGTGTCACATACTGTATTCACATAACGCTGACTTGCACACAAACCTACAAGTTTTCTCAGCATTAACATCAGGCTGCATAACCACAAGCATGCAGGCAAATTGATAAAAAAAGCTTGGCAGATATTTCATAGATTCATGTACTAGCACAAATCAGCTAAGAGACTGATATGTGTTGGTTGATTACATACATGTATTTTTAAGTGCTAGACCATACTAGGTAAATATCAGTCCTTGGTCTTAGAAGTAAGGTTTGCATTCCTTACCGGAAAGGCAAAGCACTAAATTCCTTCTGTACAGTCCCAGTCAACTTGGCCGAAAATTCAACATTTTTATGCAGTTAGAAAATGCTTTTTGTCTTATCAGGAGTCAAGCTTGTTGTTGAAAAGCCCCTACACCTGAACATCTGCAAGCCCCCGAAGACAGGGGAGATAATCTAAGCAGTACAGAATTAGTGTTTGACAATAATATTATTGCATACTGCAGACAGAAGACTACATTTAGGCCTAAATAGCACTCCCTTTGGCCTAAATATCACTCAGGTTAGCTTAGCCTGAATAGTGGTCAGCTTAGCCTGTTTACTGTTAGCTATTGATAATGCAAATGGAATACAATATAAGTTAAAATTCTGCTCTCAACAGTCTGCAGTCTCCAAATGTCATACACTGGCATAGAATAAGTGTATCAACAGCCTGTAAACAAACATCTCTTTTGGGCACAGTTTAAGCATGCCCAAGGGAACATGGAGAATACAGCTGAAATTTCCACTTGTGACTCTGGTTGGTTATTGCCATTTTAAAACAAACAGCAACATTTAATCACTTGACAGTTTTCTGTGACAGAAACAAACTCAGATGTTTCTCTCACACAGGTTTTCAGAAAACAGATTCTGAAGAAAGACGTCGGTTTATTTGGTGTAGGGTATAGAGCAGTTTTCAACTGAGTGTCGAGAGTAATCAGGCAGTTACTTTGGTTTTGGTCTTGGTTTAACTACGGTTTGATATTGGTTGAGTAGTCTAACTGGTATGTAATTGGTTTGGTTTTAATTTTACGACACTCAATTGAAATCCGCTCTAAAGAAGTCTTATATTGATTAATAATTGTTTAAAAGAGAGAACATGTATGAGCATGCTTACACCCGTTGGCTGCCTCGCAGGGTTCCTGCTGCTTGAATTTTTGTAGCTAAAAGAGACAAAAGAGATTAACGACAGCAGTACTTAGAATACTAATCCTCGCATTTTAAAACACAGTGTTTGATATAAGCTTAAGCTAAGCTTTCAGGTTACGTTACCTGCATTTTGTAAGGTGCTTGCACTGCATCGAATCCCACTAGGAGCAAACTGCCGCTTTAGGAACGAAAAAAGGAACATAAGGGAACTAATATAACGCTACTCTGAGAGTTAAAAAATACACTTACAGAAAAATGTGAACTGTAACTTCTACAGAAATGTAGACGATGCAATAACCGCCCGATATGGCGGTAGGTTAAGGAAGCCATATTTGATCGTCGTCCGCGTGTGAACTGGGTATGAATAGCCTCATTTGCATGAACTAGGTTTGGCGGGATGCGGGAAAACGATGCGCGAAGCGGGATGCGGGATGCGGGATGACAGAAGAATGCGAGAAAAAATTCTTCGGCGGGATCTGTGGTTGAAAAAGACGGTTGGGACCTTCTTCTTTCAACCTCTCTTTCTTTCTCTGCTTCTTGCATGTTTCATTCTAGTTCTCCTGATTTTATTTGCCTTCTGGCTTCAGTAGACGAATCGAGTACCTCACGGTCGACTTACGAGGAATTGTTCGTCTTACATTTTTTAATACAAACTATGGAAAATCTGGGCCTTTATCTAAACAATAATTTATAAACACATGTGTCTTAAGGGTAAAGATAGTGATAGGAGTAATTAATGTACTTTTATTATGAACAACTTTTAGAGAAATGAATTATTCCTGGGAAGCGTCGTTTAAAAACAGGGCAACAACAACAACAACAACAAAAAACATACAAACATAAGGAAAACAACAACAAAACATCGGATCTCTAATTATGTCCAATTTATCCCCAAATAAAAAAAAATAATCTTATCATTACTTCCTGGAAGCAAAAAGGCGAGCTTAATGGGAAATCGACGCCGTATTTAAAGCTTCATTGAAGTTTGTTCAGCTTTTTCTTCAAAAAGCTTTATGTTTTCTATTTAAAATATTAATAAAAAGCGATTACTAAATTCCTTGTCTTTTTTGCAATATAGAGCAAAGGCTGTTAAGCAGCCACATTTTAAACACGATCAAAAAAATAATAATAATAAAGGGAACATGCTGTTTCCATGTGGTATTTTGATTAAGAAGACAAGAGTTCGACAAGAGCTGGAGAAAGGAAACCCTGGTTACTATGGCAACTTGCACTTTGTGAGAGACAGTGTTGGTTTACTCCAAATATGGGGAATGTTTTTGTTTGGACCCAGTCCCCATGTTATTGACTTCGATGACGTCAGTTCACAATATGAAGGAAAGTACATAGTGCTGTAGTTGCCTTTGTCTTGTTGTCCAACTTTCCTGTCGTTGGGTCGCTTCTTCCACAGAGAATTTGTTCAAAACTGGCTATCCTCGTGGTCTTCAGCTACCCTGGCCTCGTCTGACGACGAACAGAAAGGTGGACTGTCTCCACCACCGCAAAAAAGGGCGCGCCTTTCCTTGGACCTTGAGTCCGATATGCACAAATCGAAACGGACTTCTAGTGGAAGTGATGGCGAAACTAGTACTTCCAACGGTGAATGCATAGCCAATGGAGACAGTAAAAGCCATCTAAAAAGGAAAATTGTTCACAGAAGCGACGAAGATGTCGTACGGTTAATAGTACAACATTTACAAGGTTTAGGATTGAAGTGAGTGTTATGGAAATATGGAGTCGAAAGAAAGACGAATCTCATTGGCATCTTCTGGTGTTGGTTTCCCGTTGCGTGGCGTGTAGAAATGATGTTTGTTTTATTTTATCCCTCAGCAAATCAGTTGATGTCCTCATGCAGGAATCGGGCTGTAGACTAGAACACCCATCAGCGGCCAAGTTTCGTGAGAGCGTGATGGCCGGTGATTGGGAAAGGGTTAGTTCAGATCGTGTTTGGCATTCAATTCTGAATCTTTTCTTCACTGTAAGGTGTCTTTTGTGGATAATGCTCCCTTCAAATGCCTTGATGGGAGGTTCACTCTATCTCATTGGAATTTTTCTCTGTTCAATAAAGGCGGACGCGATCCTCAAAGAGCTCAGGCCTTTGGTCGAGAACAAAGAAGACATCTCGGTCAGTATTATAAATGCTTCGTTTTGGCAAAATATTCCTGTCTAGTGGTCCTATTGAATATTTGTGGCGTTGATTTGTTGTGAGTCATGCATTAACGTGGGTGTAAGCGGCGTGTTCCCCGCATTTCCAAGCTATAATAATGTTTGGACTTAAAATATTGAACTGGGGATAATTTGTTTTGGGTCTAAATCGTATCTTATTTTATTATGTGCGTTCTGTGCTCTTCAAAGAAAATGAGGTTTTGTCTGATGGAGCAGAAGTTCTTAGAATTCCTTGAAGAAGATAGACGCATAGAGGCCCTTCAGTGTTTAAGAACAGAGCTCACTCCTTTGAAATGTAATAGGGAAAGAGTGCATCAACTTAGTGGGTAAGTAGTTCCAAAAGCTATAAAATAAATTTACATATATGGCTTCCCTCTGGTTTTTTGATGGTTTTCCCAGTTGATATGTAAGTCCATTTACATGAAGCTTAAGCCAACCCCATTGTTTACCTGTGTATGTTAATCAGTCAGAGTGGAAATGAAATGTTGAGAGCCAGGGCGAGCAATAATCATTTAGACTATCCGTGTGAATATATATTATCGCAAAAAATATTTTGAAGTTTGTAGCTTTAAATATGGCTTTAACAGCTGGCTCTCCTGGTTAAATTTCCATTCTATATTTAAATTTTTAATTTGTATTGAATGGGTTTCTCAAAATTGACCTGTCACAACATGCTGCCTTGAAAATGTTTTTTTTTTAATGTTTTGATACATGTATTTTTTTGTGGTGAATAAGTGGTATTTGTTCCAGTTTTAGGGTCATCTTTGTATGATTTCTTTGTAATTATTGGTTGCATCCAACGTGCACATTCTTATTTTGTCATATTACTAGTGTTGATATTATAATTATTGTTACTTTACCTGGATATATTGAAGGTTATTGTGTAGTAGGTGTGATAATTTTATTGAGCTATGTCACTGCTTAATCATTTTCCTCTGGTGCTTACGGGCTCCACAGCAAGGATTCTGGACATTGTATTCTTATGTCTGGTAGTTTTATATTTTAAATACGAACAATTTGTGGGCTACCACTGTTCTTTGTATAAGAGAATAAATTTATTACTGCCTAATTTTATGGCAGGCACATGTACTCCAATGTTTCAATTTCTAGTTTTGTCTTTGCAATTGACAAGTACTTTGCTTACTGTCAAAATAACTTCTCAACAATGGTAAAAGGTTATGAAACTTGATCTGTTCCACAAGTCATTGGGTTCTGTTTCTCTTTGGTTTTTATTAAATTTGATATATTTTCATGGCGTTATATTCTCACTGTGATATATTGTTATTGTGTTATTGTGTTATGTTATTCTCATTGTGTGATAATTACATGTATGTTACAACAAGCATTTTATGGAAAATAAAAATGTTGCACACCGCAAAAAAAAAGTTTTCTATTAACCCCTACCTTGTTATAACGACCACCTCTCTGCAACAGCCACTTTTCTGTGTCGTAAGGTGGCTGCTGTGGAGAAGTTTGACTGTTATTGAAACTATGATACCCTAATTGTAGCAAGTAAATACTATGTGTTTTGCTATAGTGCGTGAAAATGAATGAGATTGTGTCTTTGTTTATAGAAAACTAACGGGAAGACTTTCATGAACTATGGCCTACTTCACACACATCTACGGCCAAAGAATTGTTATCATTCAGTTCCCTGCTTTAATTAGTTATTTATTGGCCTTTATTTTTCAACAAGAAGATCTGTTAGATCTTATAACCGCGCTTTTAAAATTTAACTGTTTTCTTAGTACTACAGTCGCAACGTAGTGCATATTGCAAAGCAATCTTTGATGATTCATTGATTACTGTAGACATCACAGCACTTGATCAACATAAACTCTATTATCGCACCATCAGNAACAGCTTCTGGCGGAAAAACATCACACGTTGCGTGACTCAAAGTTTGGCCGAGCGGAGGTCTGCGTCTGGTCACCGACAAAAAAAATACAAAAAAAAAAATAAACCACGGGTAAACCTAGAACCGCGCTCGGCCCATGGCTGCGCGGTTAATGATCTATGCATGTGATGCACTGTGGTAAAAATTCAATGTAGGGCTGTCAAATGTTAAGTGCTAATTCACCTGTTGCCTTGATCTTTACACCCCTAGCAAACTTGTTACTTTATGGGTGACTTGTATCAACAACAGGCCAGTTCACCCGTAACATCAGGGGTCCATCAAACATACTCAGCCATAACAGGTGTTACAGGTTACGGGCCTTATCGACAGCCCTGCAATGCATTGCTGGGCTGTGCTGTAGATGCGCCCAATGGCCACAGGTGACTAACTTTTGCCTTTGGGTGACTGGAAAAACTTACTTTTTTTTCATATGAGCTTGAGTACTGGGTGCCCAGGATTTCATGGCTAGGAACCTTTGGGCTCTGCATAATTTTTCCTAGACCACAGCCTTGCATTTTGGCAATATAGAAGACAACAAAAGTGATGCATTTCAGTGAAGACAAAGAAAGAAATTTTGACCCACTCTGTGAATTACAGTTAACTTATTAAATATTTAAATTCGCTAATTTCTGGGACATTTCCAAGATACCTTTGGACCAGAATTACACTAGTAACTGGTACATGAAATAATTTTCTTTGTAGATTAATAATGTGTACAAACGAAGAGGAACTTTACAAAAGAGCTGAATGGAATGGAAAAGGATCTCTTTCTAGACAAAAGCTGATGGATAGACTTCAATGTGAGTTGTTATTATTTTTCTAATAGTATATAATTTATTGTGAAAATTGTAACCCTCAGAAACGAGGAAGAAGTATTTACTTTATATCAGCAAGACCGTCCATGAATATATGTACCGGCTAGGGACAGTGCACACTCTGAGAAAAATATTGTAACCTATAATATGACACAGATATTGACAATATCACCTTTTATTTTACAGCCATGAGTGTTTTACTGGAAATACACCACTCATAAAATTCATATGAAACTACATCCGGGAACCCACAGGCCTATTTTCCATATCCTCACAAGTGAACATATCAGTGATGTCATTTCCCGTTTTTTCACGATTGTTTGTGCAAACAGTCAGTTTGTCTATATATAATAAAAAGAAAATTACATGGTGGCTTCAAGATATGAATTTTGCTTTCTCAAAGTAAATCATGTTTATTTATAAGCATTTTCTTTGACAGTCTTTACACAATCATCAGACTTTTTTGATATTTCTGAAACCTGAACTGAATAGTTTGCATGGCCTTAGAAAATCTTCACAAATCAGATCAGTAATTGCTAGAAAATAAAACATTTTTTTGTAGTAATTAGGGCTGATACTGTCATGATACTATTTTGCATCCTGTCTTTTACTCTTGTTTTGATCATTATTTTGATTTGTCTAGTGGAATTGGAATCCAACAGAACACTTTGCCTCCTCTTCTTCTCTGACTTTCTTTCTGATTCTCCCGCACGCACTGGACTTATTTTCATGTAGTCGGTGGTACTCCTGATCAATTTTTCTTACATCTATCAGACAATTGGACCTTTGCAGCACGTTAATACATATAGATATTTTTTACAGCAGCTGAAATTTTATCGCATACTTATTTCAATGATTTCTGTTTGTTTTTCCTCAGCATTTTTACCTGCATCTGTGATGCTTCCTCCACACAGACTAAGAACATTATTAAATCAAGCAGTTGAGCTGCAAAAAGAAAAATGTCCATATCATAATACTAAACTGGAAGTTGGAATACATTCATTTTCTTTACTAAGTGATCATCTTTGCTCAAGGTAAGACCACATCAGCGGTCATAATTTTATCATTATGATATGAAGCCCTTTGAGCCTTAAATGAGTCACAAGTAGGTACGTGTTTTGAGGGACTTGTGTCTTCTTGTGGCTTGCTGGGCTTACTCATGTGAGAACTTTCATTGACTTGTATTACTATTAATATTACTTGCCCAATAGGTGCACAATGTTCATGCCTTATCAACTACATCATTCAACTCGTTGTCTTGTTCATCTTGCAGTCTTAAATTTTGAAATAATTGTTTTTGAGTGGAAATTATAACTAGCACGACTACTGAGGCTAATTTTGCTTGTCTACCGGACCACTAAACTTCCATTTTCACTTCCCTAAGAGCAAAATTTACTGGCCTCGGACATTCAGACCTGGGTTGTTCCCTGCCCTGATTTAAGCCATCCAGCACAAGGTCAGGTCACTAAGAAGAGCTAACTTTTTGACTTGTGTGCTTAAAAATATGTGGAAGTGACAGAATGATTTTATTAATTAATTGCCCATGTTATAAATAATTACTTACATGTATTATCTTTTTAGGAATGACTTTCCATGTGAAACAAAATACACATTAACAGAACACTGCGACGAGGTAAGCATTGACTTGGATCTGTTCAAGACCTGTGACAGTAGAGTGATGAGGCACTGCGAGCTCTTGTTTTTGAAGAATAACAAATTAGAGTCCAACTAGAATTATTCAATGAAGATGTATTGAAAGAAAAAACAATTTTTTTTTTTGCTATAGTCTATCAAGCTTGATAGAAGCAGACTTTTTGTATTAGTTCACTTCTCGTAATCTGAAGCAGCTGTGTGAATATTGTTGCTACAGTGTACCTCTGTTTGCAATGGATGGAGTCCATTGTAGATTACTGCAAACATTTGAGCAGGCATTGGAACCCATGCAGTTATACACCTGGGTGGAGAGTGACACTTTTAGGTTCATGTAACAGTATTGTGTCTTGCTGGAGAGCAAAACATCAGGGCAGTGACAAGAGCTCTGTAGCTCAGACCTCTTGATCATGGGTCTAATATACCCAATGGTTAGATATAGTTCTGACCATTCTTTCCCTGCTGTGCACCCCACAACATCAGTGAAGGTGGGAAAAGAGGAATACAGAGATGGGCAAATGACTGACTAAAATAATTATCTTTGTTGTTTTATTGTAGGTCTGGTTTCTTAGGTTTTCTCACAGCGGATCTAAACTTGCTACTGGAGCAAAAGATGGCACTGTCATCATCTGGGATGTATCAGTAAGTCACACACATGTACATGTAGACATACGCTATGCCTGGTTTAACCTGCTCACTCCAGAGAGTGGTGAGACACTTTTTAGGCGCAAAAGAAAAAAAAAGAGAAACCCAGATTTCAAGTCATGGTAAATATTGGGACAAAATGAAAGTACTTGTTGATAGCTTTCATTGGAATGATCACATGGTCACACGATTTTCATCCACAGGCTAAAAGTAGGAAGCAAGTTTAGGAGAAGGACGTTTTACTTTAGTAGTGAAAGAGTTACTAGTGATCTCTCATTTGTCTTTTCATGTCTTTTCTTTTAGTTATTATCTTGGATAGATTTAATAAATTAAAGTAATGAACATGTATTTTCTTGAGACTTCCTGCCCACTAAAAATGTAATTTGTATAGTCTCATGATGTCACTAAGTGTTGAATTTGTTTCTCAGCACGGTGAACCCACACACCTTAGAACAATAGAAGGTCACTCATATGGAGTGGGAAATTTAGCCTGGAGTCCAGACGACACATATCTTATTGCTTGTGGTCCTGAGGACTGCTCTGAATTGTGGATCTGGAATATTGAGGTATCATTGGTTACAAAAATGATGCTTTTCACTTTACATGTAACCTAGTGGAGACTGTTCAGTGACTTAAGCTTAAGGGTAAAACGCAAAGAAGAACAAACAAATTTCGAAATTTTGTTCTTGTTACCATAATGTTGTCTTCTGTAGAAGTCACCACTGACAGAGGAAGCATAAAAATAAGGGCAAGAAAATGTTGTTTTCTCCTTGGGCTTATACTTACCTGTATGCATAAGCACATGTACAAGAAAGCAAAATTTTCAGAAGGCAGTGTGGGCAAGTGGTTGGGGCATCTGACTCAAAACTTGGAGGTTGGGGATTAACTTCCCACTCTGACCACTAGCTGGAGTTGTTTTACTGTAGAACCAAGTTTAACTTCTCAGCCACACTCGTAAATAGCCATCGCAAGTAGTTTGCCTTCTGCCATTGGGGTTTTAGCATATGTTATTGTTAAGCATATGTTCTCAAAATTTAATCACAAGCTTTGGCAAGTGGCCTTGGGGCAGAATGCAGCACTGTAAATCCCAAAAGATGTCTCAGCATATGTAACGTGTGGCTTATTCTATCTCAGACAGGAGAATTGAAATGTAGAATGACTCAAGCTGCAGATGACAGTCTTACTTGCTGTGCATGGAATCCTGATGGAAAGAGATTCTACACAGGTGGCAAGAGAGGGCAATTTTATCAATGTGTAAGTTTAATACTCCCGTTTTCAATGTGGGGGTGAAATGTTGCATATCTAGAATTATTAAAAACTGGATCATTGGATAATGCAATTCGAGAGTTTTCATTGGCTTAGCCATCATGGGTTAGGGACCATTGGACCATGCTCTACAAATATGGTAAGCGTATGCATGATTTTTTGGGGCATTTTTATTTTTATTTTAGTCCAGTTCTATATTTTGGGGGTGGTTTTAATAAAACAATTATTCCTCTCACGCTTGTCAGATATCAGATGATTATAGCCAACTCATATCCAAGATGCTCTCATGGAATAATTGTTGATGAAACAAGACCTTAATCACTGCTGCTAATGAAACCGGCTTGTCCTTTTCTCTTTAGGACCTAGATGGAAATGTGTTGGAATCTTGGGAAGGTGTTAGAGTTATGGGACTCCACTGCCTAAATGGTGGAAAAGTAGTTCTTGCTGCTGACACCCACAACAGAGTTAGAGCTTACAATTTTGAGGAATCAAACGATTATGACTTGTAAGTAGTATTGAAGGGCAGAAAACAAATAGTTTCATGTGATAATATAATGGTTGGAAATGGACTGAAAGGGTTTTATTCAGACATTGTACTGTATAATCACTTTGTACAGTGGTATCGGCTGGGACTACGGCTCAGTATCTTTCATATGATTGGTCGCACACTGAGGTTTCATCAACAAACACCTTGTACACCATGTTAAACAGTATAACAAAAACAGGACACTTGCTACCAAACAGCTTTCATTTGAATGGTCCCACACTAGTGTTTCATCCTAAGGCTTAAAAGATTGAACTGCATTGTACAGCAACTTAAATTTACAATAGCTTTCATTTAATTATGGTCCTCACTTAGTTTTATCCACTACACAGACTCTTGGATAATGATTACTTGTGGGTTTTAGGCTTATAACAACTGTCTTTTGTGGTAAATGTTCTTTGAAACTCTCCCAGTTTCCAATTTTTACTTATCAGAAAATACCTTGAGCACCTAAAATTTTAAGCCAACATGGTGTAATAAGGATGCAGTGAGTACAGTAATAACTTTTTTGTCCTATTTTTTTTGTTTCTACTATTCTATTTTCAGAATAAAAGAAGACCATCCGATCATGTCATTTTCTGTGTCAGATGATGGTAGACATGCACTTATCAATGTAGCTCAGCAGGTAAGGAAGATCATCTTACTACCGGTACATTTCTCAGGGGAGGAGGGGAATATCCTCGTGCTTCTCAGCGGGTGGGAGGGGAAAATTTTCTAGCTACATTTCTCAGTGTGGAAGGGGGAATCAGGCTACATTTCTCAGTGTGGAAGGGAGAATCTTTTTGCTACATTTCTCAGTACGGAAGGGGGAATCTTTTTGTTACATTTCTCAGTGGGGAAGGGGGATTCTTCTCGCTACATTTCTCAGGGGAGGAGGGGAACTACATTTCTCGGGGGAGGAGAGGAACATCCACTTTGTACATTTCTCAATGGGGAGAATCCTCTTGCTACATTTCTCAAGGGGGGGGGGGTGTTCTCCACCACCCCCTGTACTTACTAGGAAGATGTACTGTTGAAACAGTTCGGAAACTCAAAGCTGCCAATGCTACGTCACTGATGGGGCATTTTAAGGTTCCTTCTATGGAGATTAATTTACCCTTGTCAAGTGTTTTACTTTCACGCCAACTGCCTCAGAAGTTTCCTTGGAAACTAGTTACTTTGTTTGCTTGTACCTCTTATGGTGTTTAGTTGGCAGACCACTGGTGAGTGAATACCTGGTTAGAGGATAATGTCTACTGATCGCTGATCTCTATTCCCCGCCGTCTTAATCTTAGTCGAGTTGTCATCCTGTGCACAGGCTCTTTAGTCGAGGACGGGGTTCCTTGTCGGCCCTTCCAGCCACGGTCAGACCCTTCCAGCTGGAGCCTGTTCACTGGCTATCGAGTTGTTCACTATTGTCATTGGTGGTTTGGGTTTATGGATAGTATTGGTTAGTGTAGGATATACGTGTATAACTAGACGCTTGTTTTGTGGTTGATTTTTTCAGGGTCTTCATCTTTGGGATATTAGAGATCGAGTTCTAGTCCGGAAATATCAAGGTGTAAGACAGGCAAAGTTCACAATATACTCGTGCTTTGGAGGCGCAAATCAAGACTTCCTCGCCAGTGGCAGTGAAGGTCAGTGAATAAATGAAAATCTAATTCTTTATAGGTCCAGAATTGAGTTATGAGAACAAAGGATTCAACACGTGTATCTAGGAATTACTGTGTTGATTAACACCACCACCAAATGCAGGAGATTTGTTACTGAGACGATTACAATAATGCACGTGATCAGTGTTTCAGCTAGGAAATTTTACTTGAGGGCCAAAGTGGCCCCTGAAGACCTTTTTTAGGGGCCAACTTTTTTAGGAAAGGGGCCAATAAATTGAAAGCTACAGAAGGAAAAAATGTATCAGGGTACCAAGAAAGAAGCAGTTTATTAGGATCTACGATAAAATTTAATAAGTGCTTTTTGAAGTGTTTCTACTTGATAAAGTTTCTTTTGAATCAGATACTATTATGAAGGATCCGGGCATTACAAGAAAACAATCCTTAGGCATACATGACGTAGTCAATGATCAAGGGTTTGCAATGCATTATAGGGCGATTTCAAACACGGCCAGCCATTCGGAAGTTTTCCGATGTGACTAGAGAATCAATACAGCAAAGCAAAAGGACGGATTGACTTCTTTTGTTATGTTGAATGTTTTTAGAAGCAAAGATCTTCAAATATGATTTACTAGAAGGACACAATGTGTGACAAAATGGCCGTTATTGATCGTCAACACAGAGAAATGTAGTCACCATTATGGCGACTAAACCAGAATTTTTGGTCGCCAAGGATGAAATGTTAGTTGCATTGGCGACCTTATCGGTCGCAATTTCGAGCCCTGGGATGGCTTTTAAAATACTACGCCTGTGTTAAGCCTGAGCTCTTGTAAAAGGAAAGGGCCAAATTGGCCCTTTTCTCGTTTTTCTGGGGGCCATCCCTGATTGCAGCGCGGGATTCCCGCAATGGCGCGTTCTGGCCGAAACACTGCGCCGTGATTACGGGTATTGTATCCTGCTTTATTACAAAATGTACATGTAAATGGCTAGCTCCGTGAGCGGGCGAGATGAACCAAATCCTGGGCTGTGATTGGCTACCTGAGTGGGCAAGATGGCGTTATCTTGCCCGCTCGGGACTACCTGCCGTGTCCCCCCAAAAAAATTTACCCAAAAGCCATATAATAAATCCTTCATTGACCAAACGTGAGGTCAAGATGGCTGGATATTGGCCTCGTTCTTTTTTGGCGAGTTTATTGATTTCGACACCATCTCGGTCCATAGGCCAATATCCAGCCATCTTAACTTCACGTTTGGTCATTAACCCATATATACATTGCGTCCAACACTTTTGAACTGTGTCTTTTAGATAACAAGGTGTACATTTGGCATTCAAAGCGTGAAAAACCAGTTGCGGTACTGAGTGGGCACACGAGAACAGTAAACTGTGTCAGTTGGAATCCCAAGGATCCTACAATGATAGCTTCATCGAGTGACGATGGAACTGTACGGATATGGGGGCCTGTTACTAGACATTCCAAGACTGGTACGTCTGTCTTTTGCTATGCAGCGATTGTGACACCTTGCGTTGTGTGAAGATCGAATGGCGGTTGCTTGACGTTCGACATAACGGACTATAAACATACTGCTATCTGGATCGTCGGGCAAAAAATACTGAGTTCAACGGTTTTAATTTCTCGCTCGTGGATCCAGCTTTGGAAGGGAACAGGAAAACTGTTTACAGCGGTCTAGAATGAATTGAAAGTGTTGTTAACTTGTAAGTTAGTAAACCAAATTGCGGGCTGTCAAAAGTTTGGAAAGAAAAAGACACTTTGTATAAATGAGCAGCAATATATTACGGTATATATTCGCGTTATTTACCCGCTACAATTTTTCTTTTTGTTTTGCAGGTTGTGGAAGCACAGCTGTGTAACAAAACGGGGAACTTTTGTATAAATATTGTCATGGGATGCTTGCTGTGGTGTTGAATTTGTAATATACACTCTTAAAATTCTTTCTTGGTTTTCTCCAGTCAAACCCTGGCTCATCGATATCTTGCAGTATTCATCCTTAAACTCTAACTTATATGGAACTGCTACGATCGAGAGGAACATACAGAACGAAAGGAGGTTAAAAAGCGAACAATCTCCTTGGGAGTTCTTCCTCTTTGTCCTGCAAAACGCTTGCTTTTATTTCTATTTTACTTACACTACCCTCGGCGTCCCGGTGACGTCATGTACTGAACACGGAGTGTGACTAATGGTCTTGCTTTGGGCAGACCCTAAGTGCTAAGTTGAAGCTTGAGGCGTAAAATCTTACAGAACTCGGCAAACGTTATCATGTCACTTTTACTGGGTTAGATGGCAATGGTAATGTTGCCTTCTACTTCCTCAAAATGTTACACGGGAAGAGCGGTGGAAAGATAATTTACATCGTGAAATTGTTGCCATTAATTTTATTTTTCCCCTTCCTATCTGTATAGTGCTGGTCGCTCAAGATAACGGTCAACCAGGGTTCTTTTTTTCAAACGACTAACGACTTTTTCGCGTTTTATCCATACTCGAGCTTTCTAAGCCTTCTCTTTACTTTCTCGCTTATAAACTGTTCGTTTTTTACGGCTTTGATTAGTGAAAACAAATTATATAAAATAGGAGTATTTAATTTATGCTGCGATAGCAATAAAATAACGGTTTTCCACAGCAGTGTAGTTTTAGTTGAAGCTCGGCTAGTGGTAGCCCCCTACGGAGACGGCGCCCTTTGGGCTCGTCACGTAATCTTCCTCCCCCACGAGGGAGGAAGATTGCGTGACGGAGGCTGGGTTAGCGGAAGTGCGCTATCAGTGCACCGTAAGTGTTGGAATTGATATGAAATTCGATTGAAAAAAACCTCACTTTTCCAACGAAATGTAAGTAAAGTTAAGGAAAATGTCTACTTGTGCGTTTATCGCTTCTAGTAGACTCACGTTATATACAGTATTTCGAAGGAAAAGTAAAGTATGTTCCGAATGATTTTCTGATCAATTCAAAGTCCTATGTTTACTTGTGGTTAAAGTGATACGGTAGTTTACTGTGTAACATTGTTTGGCGCCACTTCATTCCGTTTTCTGTAGCATCTGGCGACCAAGAGTATTTCGATTTCGACGCCCACAGTATAGGGTGGTTGTTCTGTGATGGTTACCGCTGCGACTTTCAATGGTCAATGCCTCATCATAGGGAGCTTTAGGGCCTATTCACGTGGAAGTGGGGGACCTCGGGCAGGTGAGGTCCTCCACCGTGGTGGGGTGACCAATCTATCCATACAATCTCTCTTTTTTTTTCTTGGTCGCGTTCACATGTACCCCACCAAGGCGGGTTACCCGGTCAGCCGGTACGGGTAACCCGCTTTAGTGGGGTTTAATTTCTCCATGTGAAAGCTGCGGAGTGGGGTAACCCGCCTAACCGGGGTAATCAAATCACTGCGCCAAAGCCCGCCAAAACACACAGCAGGACAACATGGCTGCCAACCGCAACGAGCGTGGCGAGTTATTTCGACGATTTCACCTCCAAAACCGCTAAAACGCTGATGAAATTGACAGTGCTAATCAGGCAAATCAGCGGAATCAAACTGAAGTTTTGCCTGCAACGACGTTGAAGCGAAAAGCAGCTTCATCGGAACAAACCAAGAAAACAAACGTTAGTTCTCTGTTGCATTTTGGACCTCACACCGCGTCTCCGGGGTTACATGTGAAGACAAGTATTTCTTTACCACGGGTAGGTGAGGTACCTCACCTACTCGGGGTCTCTCACTTCCATGTGAACAGGCCCTTAGATTGGACTGCGAGTACGAGATTGAGTACCAGTACGATTTTTGAATTTCAAACCAGTGACGTTTCCAGAGCCCTCGCTCTTCATGCTGGTTTTAGGCTGAGAGTGTAGCTCATGGGATAAGATGGGTATGTGATTTGATGATATGAAGCCTGAAAACTAGAATTGAAAAGTCGTACTGTCTCGTGCTCGATCTCGTACTCGTACCCAAATCTAAAGTCCCCTAATCAATTAATCTACACGTTAGAACAAGACGAGTCTCATAGGCTGGTTGCAACTGCAGAAATCATCATCATCATCTTGTTCTTACTGCGCCATGGGACGCATAAGGCCTCAAAGGCAGTCCTAGTGGCTATTTCATCGGACCTTACGGGCCGTTGTCCGTAGCATGAGGCGACTAGCGACTCCTGGGTCCTAGCCCCTCTGGATAGGATGGTAGTCCATTGTAGGGGACCGTCCCCCATCATTCAATTTGTTGGTTCTCATTTATACAACTGAGTGGAGAGAGACACTGAGTGTTAAGTGCCTTGCCCGCCTCTGGCGCTCGCTTATAAGCCCCCTCCCAATTCAAAATACGCTCCGCCATTCCCTGTCGTGTACTAGTAAGTGTAGCCCCATTGGGGAGGTAACAATAAAGTATGTATGTATGTATCCGTTAGACCAAGGAAAGATCTGTAACAGCGGCAGGAGCGTTAGTTCTCTGTGCGTCGTGTTGTGCTCTGCATTCAAGATTTCCTAGGATGGTGAAGGCGTAGTCGAGTCAAGTTTCGAGGAGGGATTATAAAATTAAAACGGGAAACGAGAATCGCGCGGTGGAGGTTGGAAATGAGTTTGAACAAATTGGACATTTCATTTTCCCTTACTTGACTTACGTAACAAAACATTTGTGTTTTGGGGGGAGCGTTGCGTGACATCCTAAAAATCAGCCGAGAGGAGACCAGCGATCTAATCGGAAATATATACTTTAAACATGGGTTTTGTCGGAGCAACAATCTTACCTCATGGAGCAATGATATTTGATGGTGATCCCAACTCGGACAGCTCAGCTTGCCGAGAAAGGAATTCCACAATGCCTCCAGATCTCATCAAGGACTGCTCTGCCCTGTACTCCTCTTGTGAGCGTGCAGCTGACTTTGTAGCCGAGATGAGCCCTGAAGTCGTTCTTCTAGTGACTCCACACGGAATCTCCCTGTCCTCTGGTGCATTAGGTGTTTACATTACTAACGCTGCTTGCGGAAATGCGCTTTGGAATGACACCTGGCAAGACATTGAGGTCTCTGTTCCCTTAGACGCACAGCTCTCCGACCAGTTGCTGGACTTTGTTCAAAAGCAGGGTCTCAAAGCAGACGGAATCGTAACGTTTTCTATGATGGAGGCACCGTTAAGATGGGGCGAGGTTGTGCCTTTGTGGTTTGTTAAGAGAAAGGTTGATTTGGACAAAGTGAAGTACATGGTTTTGTCTGTTGGAAGACAACGTGAAGGCTTTGAGGTCATTGGCAAGACTTTGCACGATTTTGCTTCAACCCTTCATCAGCGAGTAGTAGTGGTGATTAGTGGAGATTTAGCTCACACGCATAAGATGGCTTATGATATTCCTCTGTATTTGCCAGGTATTTACAACTTTGTCATTTTACTGGGCAGGGCGGGTGGGGGCAGAGGAAGATCTCAACGTCCTGTTTCTTCTCCCCTCACTCTTAGCTCCCGATCCCATCCGTCACTCCTTCCTTAGTGATTTCACCTGTTAGCCTTTTTTATTGCAAACATTACCGAGTTTTGCAAAATTTACCTCTATCTGATCTCTCCTGGCAGTATCCCATCCTATCTGGGCAGGTATACAAAACAGGGTTGACAGAGGAGTGAGAGTTGGGGGAAAGGGGGGGGGGGGGGGGGGGGGG